TCGCTGCTCGCCCGCCCAGGGTTTTCTCAAACATGCAGGAAGGGAGAGATCAATGGTGTCCTCGGAGAGGGGGAATTACACAGCTGAATTTCGATGAGAACAGAAGAAAAGGAGGAGGAAGGGAGAACAAGTAGAGGCGGGGAAGGCATGTGAAAAGGGAGAGAGGGAAGGAGGATAGTATATCCTTTAAGGAAGAAAAAAAAATGGGAGGAATGTGGAAAACTATGTAAAAGGCTGAATGAGCCCCGCAAAAAAACCTGAAATTAAAATCCTTGAACGTGATGCTTCTCGAGTGGAATCCGAGGTGTGTGTTTGCATTTTGCTGCACCGAGATAACATCCATAACTGTGAACATCGCACCATAATTTGTGCTGACAAGTGAATGTCTGTCTTATTTGCTTGCTTGTGTGTGTGTGTGTGTTTATGAGGGGGAATCTGCTGTGTTTGCATCCACACACACACTGACACACACACACAAGTGGTGAGGGAGATGAGAAAAACAGCAGCTGTACGTTAAGATTTTTATCAACAGTAAACTTTTTTCCTATCCTGGTGTGATGACGTGAAATGTGTTTTCTAATTTTGGGGCTCAAATGTGACTTTTGACCTTTGCTTAAATGACTTTTCTTCATTGTTATGCCCGAACATTCTCAAGGTGTAACTGTACTTAATGAGTGTAAATTACAAGATAAAACATCTGCCTTCACAATGATCATATTGAGATGAATGGAATATTGTTTGTGTCAATTACAAAATATAGGTTCATTTAATGAAAACACTTTTGAGAGCAGGGAAAAAACATCCTGGTTCTTTTTAGTGTATCACATTCTCACTAAGGACATTTCTTTCAGATAAAAAATAGATTTTAGATTACACTTTTCACAATGAATTCTCTGGAAAATTGCTGCCTAAATTGTGTAATTTAGTTGTGTTTTTGTGCTCCATTATATTGGGAAATTACAACTATAGGAATCCCAGAATGGAAATCATAAAAAAGTCAAACAAAAAATGTATTACTGCATGACAACAGCTACATTAAACTTTATAAAATAACAGCATGGCTTCTTCGCCCAAAATAAGACAAACTTTAGGGCAGTTTTCTTGTTAATATCACCTCAGAAACCTTCACTTCCTGTACTCGTTCTACGGCATTCTGCGCCTCCATGTGGTAAGATTTCACAAAAGACTGTGAGAAATATTATTACTTACAGGAAATGGTCAGCAGAGTTAAAAGCAAATGTGGCAAACTGTCCTCTCCTGTCCTCCTCCTGTCCTCCTCCACCTCACTATTTCAACGTCAAACCTGCTGCCTGTTTCTTGTCACGTCTCCTCTCTGTAATCCCTTTGCGGTTGGGAAAGAAAACCCTCTCACAAAAGCACTTAAAAAGCATTTCAAGACACAAACATTTAATAAAAGTTTTCTGTATCACACAGAGCTATTTACTGGGTTTGTCGAGGGCGTTCAGGCTGCTGTCTATTCTGTCTGTGATGGTGATAAATCAGCAGAGCAAGGAATAATCTGAATATTGGTGGGGTAAGGACCTGTGGTAAGTGCCACTCCTAAAATCCTAATGATGCTGCTGGCACCGGAGAGCCACATAAAGCAGCGTTTCAAATGAAAGGCCTGATTTTCTGGCAGAGAAAAGGAGCAGTGGAGGAGCCCTGAGGAGAACCTGGGATCACACCATGCTCTGAACTCTGGGCTCCAACGGCGTCAATTACCGGGAGATATACGGACCGGCCCATTCCCACCACTTTACTGAGTCCCCCTTCAGCCGCAGCCCGCCCTGACGGTAAATTATCACCCCCCCCCCCCCCCACCATCCAAGTTCTGCAGCACTTTGGAGTCACCAGTGAGACCCTCCTCTGTCTCGGTCCGAATCTGAAGGAATTCCCTCCCTCTGTGTGCCAAACCCCAAAACCTGTGCAGAGCATGCAGCTGCACGCCCATGTGGACACGCTCACTCGCAAACATTGATTTAAACACACACAAATGCGCACAAATGTTCATATGTGGGTATCCCCTGGAGCTATAGATCATGGGGAACAGGTAGAGAGTTTAGCATGCATTCACACACACACATATTCAGGCTGTATATCATGGCGGTGGGCAGGGAACGTCAGCACTCCCATACACAGTGAGCCTTATTGCAGAGTTTAATAGAGGAAAGCCAGCATGAATCCCCACAGTCATTCTGTTCCAGTCAAACACACCATTCACTACACTCCGGCCCTGTGTGTGTGTGTGTGTGTGTGTGTGTGTTAATACACACGTGAGAGTCCCTACATACTGTACATCATGTGCTTGTTTGTGTGTGTGTGGGTAGATATGTATACGATATGCAAGTATGAGAGCGTTCTGATGCAAATGTTACTGCCTGTGTGTGATGTATCTGACATCTGAGTGTGAGTGTGTGTGTGCATGCGTGCGTGTGAGTGTTAATACACACGTGAGAGGCCCTACATACTGTACATCATGTGCTTGTTTGTGTGTGTGTGGATATGTATACGATATGCAAGTATGAGAGCGTTCTGATGCAAATGTTACTGCCTGTGTGTGATGTATCTGACATCTGAGTGTGAGTGTGTGTGTGTGTGTGGTGGGATGGGGGCCGTATTGACCCATCAGTGCTGCTCTGTCACCTCTTCTCTTTATGAGTCTGGCGGTTTAAAAACACACAGAATTTATGGTCAGTTTGGGCGCTACCTCTGATGCGTTCAGTGTGTGTGTGTGTGTGTGTGTGTGTATCCTAAAAACAACTCTAATGTAGAAAGTGAGCCTTGTTTACTGTCAAAAGAGGAATCAAACACATAGACAAAGTGACGAGAGGCTTATCAACACCATGTAACTCCAACCCAAGAGGGTGTTATACTGAAAAAAATAAGTAATGAGAAATTCTTTATTATTAGAAAAGATACACTACTAGTGATTATGAAATACAGCAAAACATTTAATAAAAAAAAAGGAAATACCAGTAATGCTTTATGAAAAGGGTAGCAATGGTATGAAATGTAGTTCGTAATTCATCCCAGAAAATATCTTGTTGTCACGGTGTGCAATATTACACTTTCATATTGGTATTAATATTAATACATCTCAATATTATAATATACAATTATTACAATAAATAATGATTAATTATTGTTATCATTAACAATAACCCTTAAAGGATTGAGAACAAAATAACAATTCTAAACAGAATGATATACCAGATTTAAAATAAAATGGCATGCAACTATAACATGTGAAATAGCTAAAGCATGTTGCTCACAGCATTTTCAATTAACTTCCTAATGAAGTCAGCTGTGAGCTTTTAAAATAATGCCCTATGATCTGTGCATTCAACTCACACACACACACATGTATATCAGTGTTTTTTAATACTGTATATAAGCAAATACACAAGGACATGGTTTGATAACTGTCAACGTTTACACAGAATACCTTAAAACCAAATGCAAACCTTATTTGTGATGGTCAGCAATAATAAAGTAAAAGCTTTAACGGTTTAAGTTTAGGGTGTACATCTGAGTTGTCATCTTCAAGTAAGAACCCCCCCTGGAGATTAACAAAGTAAATTCTTCTCCCACATATTTTTGTTTAAACCTCAGATAAGCAGAGCGAACCAGACTATACGTCCTTTATCTGAGCTTCTAGGTGCTATGTAATTGTGGACGGAGTGTAATGTGTGGTCCATTCGCTTCATTAATGGGGCAGACGTGAGCCGTTCAGCCAAGAAAACGCCTATTGTTCCCGTTACCTTCCCTTTTTTTTTAATGTGTGGCATTAGTCAGGAGTTGTTAGTGCTAGACCATAGTGCTTTGCTGATGGTCAAATGACAAAGTCTTAATAGAACATAGGGGGACGGGCAGGACAAAGGTGGGCAATGTTCAGCTGGATGCAGCCAATTTCTGTGTGAGAGGCCTGCCTAAAAACCCTATTCATAGGCCGTCTAATGCTGCTGCGTAATTAAATGTGATTACTGGAGCAGAGGGCTCCTCTCTGCTCTCTGAGGGCCACACACAGGACTGCAGGCAGCGTGCATGCGCTCATTAAGGAGGCGCTAACAGATGTACACAAGCGACGACCACAGGCATACCTAAAAATCCAAGCCATCTCTCTCTCAGCGATACACAAACATGAACACAAGTACAACACCGTGTGTCTCCAGAATATAGGAAAAGTAGTATTGGATTTGGAAGGGTATAAACTAATGGGTGGTTGGTTTTTTCAGTATGTTATCCCTCAACCGAAGTAAAAACATGAATTGAAGTTGGACTTTTTTTTAAATACCTGACTTTTTTGAGCCTCCAAAATGCAAACAAACACGCGCTAAGTGACACGGCAATAAATAAAAATCAGGCGAAACTATGACCTTCAGTCAGTGATAATCAAAAAGCAAACAAGCAGAAACATAAACAAAAATCAATTATGGTTTCCATCCACACACACACACACCTTGTCTGGCCCGCTCTCCGGTCCAGTTTCCTGGGCAGACACGGTCCCCTGGTGCCCATGGGAAATAGTGAGCATGCCAGGCCCCCACAAAGGCGTCCTTTCAGCCGCCCGCATGCTTGACCTGTGCAGGGTCAGCGCTCTGCTTTGTGCCCCGCGACCCCTGAGCGACCCGGGGTCACAGCGAGGGCCCGAGGTCAAATCCAGATGCCTGCGTCTAATTTCGCTCCGACTGCGTTATCCGTCCAAATCTGCCCGAAAATGTGCCCCCGCCTACCCCACCCCTAAAACCCACTACTACCTCCGCACATGACTGAGTCCTATAGAAATACATAGGTACTCTGCAGCCTAATTGGACTACTGTGGAGTAGTGCTCACACTCGAGCTTTCTCATACTCTCTCTCACACACATGCCAGCCTGACCCCCTGTAACTGCACTAATACCCCATCCCATGGCCTTTGGTCGATCTTGAGGGATTAGGTGCAGAAAGACACACATACAAGCACAGATACACCCACACACACACACATATGCACGCACACACACACACACACACACACACACACACACACTTAGAGTCGCAGCAGGCCTGGCTGAGGGTCTACCTTGAGGGATTAGGTGCAGAGAGACAGGACCCTCCAGCCAATCAACCGGTCTGTCACATTGATTTTGAGGGGTCACTGGCACACAATGGCCAGGGTTTTCCTGTCTTAACCTCTCTGATCACACACATATGCACGCACACACACACATGCAAACGCAAATGTAATGACAATAAAGTTGATTTATATCATATACGTAAAAGGCAGGGCCAGAAAACTGCTTTATGGGCGGGTTAAGTGCTGGATAAGTGTGTAAAAAAAAAAAGTGTCCCTAATTGATTACATATTTGAGTCAGTTCAAGTATGTTTCTGATGATTTTGAGAGTATGTACAAATGAATCAGACACAACTTTCTGCAAACACATGCATCATTACAATTTTAAACCCCCGTTCACGTCTTAAAGCTGCACCACAACTTCTGAAAATCCTCCGTCCCCGGGGGAAAGCAGACCCGGCTGGGGCAAAGCTCCCGGGTCAACCCCCACCTCTTAAACCCCTCTCTCCTTCTTCTCCTTCCTGGTCAAACAACACAATAGTCGTCTATCAGAAAGGGCACCAGGCATTCGCTTCTGACTGAAATAAACCCGGCTACAACATTTCAGGTGCTCGGCCTGAGTATTTTCTCTGACGTCATCCACAATTTGCCTGGTCTGTTTTAGTCTTTTTTTCGGTCTCCCCCCTCACACCTCGCATCCCTGTTTCCCTTTCCTGTCGGGAATCTCTGTGGCATCTGGAAAAACAGGATTCATGCACGTCTGCTGGTATTGTTATGATTACAGAGTTTGTCATGGGTGGAAGAGCTATCAGGCACTTTAGTTGATTAAAAATAGCAACACAACTTTGTTTAAATACTGTTCATGTATACCTAAAAGACCTTCATTCAAAATCATGTTCAAGCAAAAGGGCAGGAGTTTTCCTATTATCATAAAAATGTACTTAAAGTGCTACATAAATAAAAGTACTGCAGAGAGATGACAGACGAGACTGAAATATATTACTATATGATTGTAACTGATGCAAAGGACTACAAGATGCATTTTGACGGTTGTGAGGTGATTATTAGGTACGAAAGAAGAGAAAAAGTAACATTTCTATTCAGTAAATGTTCACTTATCTCTGTTAGACCCCTTTAGTCCTCGAGTGTTTATATTTGAGGGAAACCATCTGAACATTTTAGTGGAGAAATCACTCTTTGGTGGGAGTGACAGCAACTCAAACATATCTGAAACATGACAAAAGGCTCCAAGTAGACACTGTTGTTGTAAGAGGTCAAAAGGCCACAGATTTGAACCATTCACGGTATCTCATGAGCTTATCATATGTTATTTTAATGTAAAATGTGAGTAAGTAACTTCAGCTTAACCACAGCTGTCAGATGTAAATGTAGGGTAGTACAAATAACATTAATTTCCTTGAAAACGTAGTGGAGTACACATTTTAAAAAGCACAAGTATAAAAAACGACAACAAAGAGTTCTTCGAAAATGATAAAACCACAAATATGATTGTTTAGTTAATAACCTTCCCTTGAAATAAATGTTTGATATAATATTATAATAATATCATTTTTTAAATTAGGTCCTTTTTATTAATTAACTTCACTAAATTGATTCATTTATATTTACATACATGTATTGCATCACAGACTCTTTTATTTATTTAATAACCCCACAAGTATATGCAATGGTAATAATACAAATAGCCCTTTCACAAAAGTCCTTTTTAAAATAAAAACGATGTTTTCACTATAATAACTCAGTTATATATATATTATTATTTACATTTACTTGTTTATTTATTGTCTAATTTTTTGTTCCGGATTTGTTCATAGACATATTTATTTATCAGTTTACTTCTAAGTCTCATGTCCAATAAGCACGACTTTCAGTACTGCAGTGTGACCACTAGTGGGCGCCAGAGTATTTCCACAGTAATGAAACCAGCTGTTGTGTTCTCTTTCTCACTTCCTTGACTATAATCTCTACTTCCTGGATACGCGATCAGAAAAAATACAGCCAGGCTGGATTTGTCATTATTTTCTTTTTACCGAGTTTCAATTAACCTGTTGCTTATATTTACACAAAGAGGATTTATTTTTCCAATGGTACATGGTGGTTTAATGGGAGGAAAATACCGATAATGGCGTAAAGCGGAGTTACTTTTAAAGGTGAGTTAACCTAATTTACCAATAAAACTATGACGTTACTAATGGTTACCGACCGTTAGCTTTCGAGCTAAAAGTTAACTAACTCACTAATGAAACTATGACGTTACTAATGGTTACCGACCGTTAGCTTTGTAGCTAAACTTGAAGCGAATTTATTTATGAAACTATGACGTTACTAATTGTAACTGACCGTTAGCTTCCTAGCTAAAAGTTAACTAACTTACTAATGAAACACTGAAGTCACTAACGGTTACTTACGGTCCTTGTGTGTCCTTGTCATGATAAGGACAACATTTGAAGGTGTGCCAAATGTTTAACTCGTGTTGTGTGTGTGTGTGTGTTTTTTTTCGCCTAGAGCGCCACGTCATTGGAAAAACACACACCCTGATTTTAGTCCCCAGCTTTGCCTTCAATGAGCCACTGTCTCCGTGTCTTCTGATATTCACTCACCCACGGAGGAGCGGTCAACAAGCGGGTCAACATGACGGCGTCTAACTGGGGTCTCATCATGAACGTGGTGAACAGCATCGTGGGCGTCAGTGTGCTCACCATGCCCTTCTGCTTCAAACAGGTGGGTTCACCTGCGGAAGTTTACAGGTGCTTCGGAAAAAACCCTCCGCCAAGCAGGACCCCCTCTTTTAGCTGTTTACATTGGCGGGAGAGGGGTCTCAGTTTCTTTACTTCAGTAAAAGCACAGCTGGAAGAAGCACTTAACTACATTCTGTCACTGAGCAAAGTAGCAGTATATGTCCTGCAACATATGTTTCTTTATACAGATGAGCTAATGTCATTTTTATATAGTTTGTTTTAGCCAACATTGTTGTTGAATTAACATGTAAGCAGTATTAATGTGGGAGTTTGTCATTCAGAGCTTTTATTAACTGCATTATATTCTATTGGGCAATTTAAACTGCTGCATTCAACAGCAGTTTTCATTACTGATTAATCCTCTGACTATATTCTCTTGATTAAACATTGGGTCCATAACATCTCAGTTCAAAGTCCAAGGCTATGTCTTTTAATGTCTTGTTATGTCAGTCCAGCATCCAAAGAGATTCAGTTTAATACAATATAAAACAGCTATAGTTTTTAAGCTGAAAACAATATATTTAGCTTTTTTTAATGGAGAATATACAACATATTTTAGAAAACATTACAACATTTCAACATTTCTGTCTTAAAGTTGTTGGTCTTGACGTGGCTATGTAAAACAACTTGGCACTTTCAGTAACACACAACAAAATTGAACAGAATCAGGAACTAAAACCTCCCAAAAAAACCACAAAGCTATGAATAAACATTTCTACAAAGTGCTTTCAACATTGCAAACGTTAGCTTGACATTGTGCTTCATGTTGACCTTGGTGGGTTACGTGTTATTCTTGTACGAGGATATGAGTGTGATGGGAAATGTACTTAATGAATGACTGTGCTACTCTTATCTCCTAGCAACTTCTTCATAAGATCAGTGGATGCTTGGTTGAACATTAACATCATCTCCATCTGTTCTCAGACTCCATCAAGACTCTTTTAACTCTCACCATTAAATCATTTAAACACATTATCTTAGTTTGTTTGAAGTACCCTTTTGTAAAACACTGTAGAGCACAATGTTAACCTCCAATCACTCTTTGGAAAAATAAAATAGAGAGGTATTCATAAAGTCACATTGTCATCAAAAATATAATTTATGAAGTATCCTTGTTATCACAGTATGTGCTCATGGAAACTATTTGCTGCCAAGTGTTTCAGTCACTACCTGCCTCCTCACCTCTGTGTGTATGCAAATTCAATATTTGTAGAGTGTTTGTGCGCAGAAGGAACAAAGAAGATAAGGGTTAGGGGTGGCAGTTGTTTCAAAGGCTAGATTACCCTTAAAACAACTTGGAAAAATGCAATGTCCTTCTCTGTTAATGAAGAATGTTCTTCTCCTACAAAATGGCAATTAAAAACACCATGCTTCCTTGATTGCTCTTGCCATCATAATGGTTTTTTTCACAGATCAAATTGTTGTGTTTCTGCTATAGATTTGTAAAAAAAAACACACACGTATAATTTCTCAATATGTAATGTTGTGGGACATCCTGCACATGGACAAGCTATCCATTGTTTTTATAATAATGAAGTGTGTACAAAGGTTAACAAAATCCATTGACCTTTAGGTTTTTACTATTTTTAATTTACAGCTGACAAATGTGTTTCCTCCTGGTGTTATAGTTATACTTCATTTAGTCCTCCTGGTACTAAATTAAGTATATATTTAGACATTTAGAAGTAGGTTTCCAGTTTGAATCCAAGCCAGGGCATAACGATTTAATCATAGTCACTCTAAAACAAATGCTTATTCGATTTGAGGACATTATTTTCTCATTTAAAGGTGGGGTAGGTAATTCACTTCAGAAACACTTTTTGTTATATTCCATGGAATGCTCTTAACATCCCGATAGCAATGAATACATTAAATACTTTGACAATAAATACATAAAAAAATGTCATCTGTGGAAGCCGTTGCGCTGTAAAAAGCACGACCAATCATCTGAGCCGGCCCGGCTAAAATAACTGGATGGCCTACCTGCCTGTCAGCCTTCCATCTGTGCACAAACTTATCTCGTGCCCTCATTGGTCATGTGCGCGTTCGTGTGTGTTGGAGGAGGGGCTCTGTAAGGAAGTCTGAAGGAAGGGGCAGATTTTTTTTCGGTTACGGACTTTCAAATTCTAGCGCACTCGAGCTGGTTTCTCCATTCTTACCTTTACCCTACCTTCAACTAAGATTACCAGATTTTAGGATAATCAATGTGTGTCTGCTGTGTGATAACTCTCCCTCCTTCCTCTCTTACAGTGTGGGATTGTTCTGGGAACCCTCCTGTTGTTCTTCTGTTCGTGGATGACCCACAAGTCCTGCATGTTTCTGGTAAACACAGCAAGCAACACCAAAAGACGGACCTACGCAGGACTTGGTGAGTTTAAACCGTAACTCGTGTCATTGTTGTGTAAATGTTGAATTTGCTGTAGCAGTAGCAACAAAAGCGATTGTGAATGAACAGGCAGATTGAGTGAGCAACAGAAAGTTAAGCTCGATTTACAGAAAACCTTATGCCTATGATCATTTCCCGACACTGCCATCTGTTTGTCCACATGTTGTTCACAATGACGTCCCTCCTTTCTCTGCAGCCTTCCATGCTTACGGGAAACCAGGAAAAACTGTGGTGGAGCTGAGGCAAGTCTTATTACTTATTCATTACTCATTAAGCTTATTTTAAAGTGTTTATCACGGCTTGATCTTCTATAGAAAATGACATATACAAATAATGTGGTTTTATTCCCAAAACAATAAACGCTGATAATAATTTAGATTTCTCTCGTCCTCCTGCAGTATGATCGGTTTGATGTTGGGCACCTGCATTGCCTTCTACGTCGTGATAGCTGATCTGGGCTCGAATTTCTTCGCTCAGCTGTTGGGTTTACAGGTTTGAGATCTTTATTTGCTTTATTTATCTCCTAGGCTGCAGCCACACGAGAACGGTAACGGTCGTATCCGCTACAGTTCTCTATCATATAGAGTAGACCAGGGGTCGGCAACCCCTGGCACGCGTGCCACCAATGGCACGCGGCACCGTAACCAGTGGCACACTAGGAATAAGTGGAATAAGTGTACAAAATATTTATTTTATTTTTGGATCCTGAACGAGACCGCCGCCAGAGCGCGTCTCCCCGTTACCTGCAGAAGGAAGCCATGCACGCAACGCAGCCCCACTCTTTAACTCCAGGCGACTTTCTGCCGCTTTCCTCCGTAATGCAGTGCTGATAGTTTCACCACAGAGGAAAGCACTTCACAAATTGCAGTACCCATAAGGAGCTGTAAAAATGCCGCAGTTTTTGCGTGGCGATCGATATCGGCCGATACTCAGTCTCTGCAGATCCATCGGTGCTCTCTAAAAAGGCCGATCGCGAGACGTAAAATACATGACATTTTTCTCTGTGCGCGGCAAAACAAGCTCGCCAAAATCGCTTCACCAGTCTGGCAGTATTTTAAGGTGTCCGAAAATGACAATAAAATAGCGGTGCAACGTGTGTGAAGCAGAAATCCTGCAGCTCCACCCGCTGTGACGGACCGGTGAGCGGAGCAAAACACACAAGTTAGACCTAACACACTTAGCTATTTTATCTACCTTTGGAACAAGCTAAACTAGTTATAAATATATTTATTCTTCACTGTCACTCATTACTGGATCAGTGAGCTGCATGAGATACTGACAGGCTGTCAGGAGAGAGAGAGGGGGAGAGAGGAAAAGAGAGAGCTTCCGCTAATTTCTCCCGTGTTATTATCCAAAGTTAATGTAAACTTGATGAATAATGTACTTAATTTGAATGTAACAATTATGTTGGTTGTTTGTGGAAGCGCCAGTGAATGAGCCCCATTAACTGAGTTTTAAACATCACTTTTCACGAGTGTTTTCGACGAGCTCTTCAACCCCCCCCCCCCCCCCCCCCTCCTTGATAATTCACGATCGTCGGCACGCTGATAACATTTTTTTTTTAGAATGGCACTTCATATCAAAAAGGTTGCCGACCCCTGGAGTAGACGGTTCGGCCACACGAGGCCGACAGGGAAACGCAGATAACGATAATGATAACGGGTCCCAAGGTGGGTAGATCTGGGGACGCAACGCTCTGGGGGGCCAAACGGCTCCGTGTTTACGCCCTATACGATCATTTCCTGATAACGATGAAGCAATAGCCCCGCCTCTCCCCACCTCTCCTGCTCAGAGATCAGCTGCTGGGCTGTCAGAAGAGGGGGAGGAAAAGAGAGGCTCAGTTTATTATTCTTATATTTTTATATAGAGTCGTTATCAATTTGTTTTAAAGCTCAATAAATAACAAAGAAGACCTTTGACCGGCACTTTTCTAATTTTGTCCGGAAGATTTAAACTTTAACGGACATGTTGACCGGCGGAAAAAAAATCTAACTGAAACTCTGCCGCACGGTCCCCTCGTCCCTTGGAAGAGGCGGAGAGGTGGGTGTTTGTCATCTGCTGGTGGACTACTGGAGAGAATTACAGCAGGAGCACACGCCGTCCACCGCGGAGAATAAACAGAAGGGCAACCATGCGCGGGAAGTCTTCTTCTCTGCTTTTGTGGCAGGACTACAGCGCCACTTACAGGCCTGGCATATGTACTACAGCGTCTCCAGCGCTTTCGAGCGGTCTCGTGTGAACGGACACGTTTCTGGTGCCTGTTGCGTGTGGACGGAAGACTTTTTTGATACCAAATTCGGTTCGTTTGCGTTACCGTTCTCGTGTGGCTCCAGTCTTAATCTTTAGACACTGCTTTCTTCTGTGTTTTCATTAACTTTATTTTGAAAGGAATACTTCCCCTGCAAAACAATCATTTGTGTATCAATTAGTGACTCATTGTGTTACATCTGATTCTGGAAAAACATTGTTTTTGCCCCATACTCCTACTGTAAACAAAGAATTCAAAAACGGACCATAGGCTTGATGAGTGGATATTAATGGGGACTGTTTAAGGGGCCACACATGCACCCCTCTTCCAAGCGTGAGACTGTCCATGCAGAATTGTTTTAAATCTTTAAGTTAAGTAAAAATGCTTGTGTTTGTGAAATAATAAGCATGAGCAATGAGACTTATACTGGACGAGTTATGGGAGAGTTTGTAAACCGGTTTTTAGACAGATCATTTTCGAATTCTTCCTTCACCATGGAGGACTTACAGATAAAACAAGTTTTGTCCAATCATTTTGTAATACGGTATGAGTAACAGATGAAGAAATGGTTATATCTCAAGTGAAGTATTCCAATAATCATCTAAAACAGCTAAAACTGTAGTTGATAAGATTGAGGTTATTCAACCAACTAAACATAGATACTCTGGGAGAAAGTCTATTAGAGAAACAATGTTGTACGGTGACTAATCATTCAATTAATCCAACTTTATTTTTATAGCATTTTTTATAAACAAAGTGCTTCACATACCAAAAACAAAAAAGTAAACAAAATAAAAATACAACAACCCCCCCCAGGCCATAATCAGACCAATACAGACATTTGTGATTATTAAAAACACAGACATCTAGAATTGGATAAAACAAGAATACATTGAATATAATTAAAAACCAAATTGAAAACGTGGGTCTCTCCCCACGCCCCTCAGAGACATTTGGTTAAAAAGAACACAATGGTGCTCTAGGAGGAGATTCAGGTGATAAGGTGGGGGGGGGGGGGGGGGTTACCTTGGTTGGTGATTGGCTAATGGTTACCAAGCCAAAACATCGTTATGACATCATAAAGTGGCCAAAATCTGATCAGCTCATTTTCAGACAGGTTTTTATATAAATGGATCAGGACAAAAAGTGAGAGAAACTTTCAGAATCTCTTTACACAGAGGGGACACATGTTGATGTAGAAGAGACGTGAAGAAGTGGATTTTGCATAATAGGTGACCTTTAAAGTGTGAACACTGTCATGTGACTCTGTCCTCTAAAGGTGACGGGCAGTTTCCGCGTCCTGCTGCTGTTCGCCGTGTCTCTGTTCATCGTCCTCCCTCTGAGTCTGCAGAGGAACATGATGTCTTCCATCCAGTCCTTCTCCGCCATGGCGCTCATGTTCTACACCTTCTTCATGTTCACGGTAAGCCCGACAACACACACACACACACACACACACACACACACACACACACACACACACACACACACACACACACACACAGCGAGGCATCTAACACACACACACACACAGCGAGGCATCTAACACACTGCAGTGGAAATAGACTTTGGTTTCAAAGCTTGACAGTTAGAGAGAGGAGCCCTCGTAAAAGATAAAATGCTTTTATTAAGTCATATAAAGTTAATCATAAAGTGCATGACCTGAAATCTGCTGGACAGAAAGAAGGCGATTATTTAAGTGATTCCTACTACAGCTAAAAATGATCAAGGTGTACAAATATTAAATACTAATTAGATAAGAAATCTGTTAATAATAGAGTGCCACAGTGACGCGTCCTAAAACCTGGAAGTAAACTCCTTCCGGTTCCTTCGACAAAAAAGCAATGCAATCTCTCCATAGGATTTTGGAAAATAGCTGGAAATAAGGTCTGTGGTTGAGACACATTTAAGAGACGGATCACGTTTTGTTCAGCCGGATAATATCCACACGTCTACCCTACTTTTATAATTTTCAAATCATAAATCTAGTTGCCAGAAGCAAAATGCTAACGTTATGCTATAAAGAAACTACAGCTGCTTCAACGTCACGCCAACTTAAGATCCATATTCAAACATACAGATTCAAAATGGTACAAGTTGAAGCGTTTGTTTGAACAGTTTGCAGGAGGCAGGCACTTACTTTCAAGCAGAACAGGGCAAACAATCTTAGAGGAGTGTTTACGTGTTCGGCGTAATGACGTACAACGGCCTCGACAACTTCTGTAGTCCTATTCAGCCACTTGTTAACAGCCATCGTTTAGACAGGTAAATTCTTCAGAAATCACCAGCCGGGTCACTGCTGATGTATTTAATGTCGTAGAACAAAACGTGATCCATCTCTTCAATGTGTCTCAACCACAGACCTTATTTTCAGATATTTTCCAAAATCCTATGGAGAAATTGCATTGCTTTTTGGCGAAGGAACCGGAAGTGGTAAAATGCTAACTTACTTCCGGGTTTTAGGACGCGTCACTGTGGCACTCTGTATACGACATTTATAAGAACAGTGGATAAAAACCTGGACTTATGGTAAAGGTTCTATTTACTTGTCTTATTTATAGAAATGACGGACAGTTTTCTTACAGCATACAGTTTTTTATGTTATATGTTTTTCTAAAGTACTTAGTTGATAATTCTACTTCCTCACTGACATAATAAATATAAATACTATAGATGCCTTCACAACCTGTAATTGTAACACAGTTCATTTACTTTTTCTCTCTGTTCTAACTTGTTTAATTTTCAGGATATTGTTTGGATAATATTATTTTGTCTCTACGGTCCTTGTTCCGTTTCTGCTCCATTGTATAGAACTTCTTTTCCGTATCGACACGATATTTTCTTGCTCCTTTTTTTTAAAGAGCAAATTCACACTGAATCACATCAGGCAGAAAACCATTGCTGCTCTGCTGATTCAGAGGCTTTCCCCTGGGACCGAGACATGCTTGGAAATGGCCACTAGAGACATTTTAAAGCTCTGTTAGTGCAAAGTAAATGGAGGTCACACAGTCAACTCCACTAAATCACAAACCGTTGCATTTCAAGGGAATTATCTTTGCTCATTTGTTGCAAGCTATTCAGCATTTAACATATAGAGAGGCGAAGTCCCGCCCATCTACTTCCGACCCATGGGACCTTATTTTGGAAAAAGTATGTATTGAAGTCAATGGAGAGAGAAAGATTATCTTTTGATCCCGTTTGAATTGTGCCACGAATTACACATATGATGTTTGTCAATCTTAAAAAATAATTTCTATGTCAAAAAAGTTGTTTGTCGTAAAACTGTTGAAATATAAGACTATGAAAAATACTCAACTAGAAAGACTACAAATCCCAGAATCCCGGTCCCGCATGCTGGCTCTTACGGAACCGACTAACTCCCCTTGTGTGTATGTACAGCTCTCAACATGCCCAGACTTGGAGTGATTTTCACCTCTTTTAATACTTTTCGCCTCATTCTGAAAGAAAGAGGTGAAATGTGCCAACGTGACGGCCGTCTTGGTGTGTGGTGCGAGACGGGAGATGTAGGTCATTGAGCGGTTTCACACAAAAAAAAGTGTTACTTCACAGTTTTACGACACATTTTTATTTTTTTGACTTGTAAAATTATCTTTTAGATTGACAAACATCATATGTGTAATTCGTGGCACAATTCAAACGGGATCGAAAGATCATCTTTCTCTCGCCATTAACTTCATACATACTTTTTCAAAAATAAGGTCCCATGGAGGTCCCCCGGAAAGGGAGGGACTTCGCCTCTCTATAAGACGGTAAGTCTCCTATCCTAAGTCAGAACAACATTCCCATTTGTACATACCTTTCTGCCTCAGCCTGTCAGCATTGAGCAGCAAAGCCCCTATAGCAGCTGCTGAAATATTTCTGAGGTTTACCTTAGTTATTATTTAGACAAAGCTACAACAGGAATGTAGAAGAACTTGAATATTCAAGGTTGAGGACTCGCATTAGTCACATTTTTAGCCATGTAGCTTAGCCTCAATAAGCTACATGGCTAAAATATATAGAAAACACAACATATTCTTACTCTTACTACACAGGGAAATGTACTCATAAGCCACTACAGTAGGGCTGTGCGATTATGGCAAAAATCATAATCACGATTATTTTGGTCAATAATTGATATCACGATTATTAAATACGATTATTCATTGCCTTTGAAAACATCCATTTATTGAACTTTAAAACAAATACAAATAATAATTTGAACAGTATCTTTTTAACTGTTGATTACCCTGAACGTAATTCAACTGAAAAACCAATACGAAAATAAATAAAATAAATGATACATTTATATTTACATTTAAATAAATAATATCAAAATAATAAATACCAATAAACAAGATCAACAAATATTTTGGAGCGCACTTCCACAAGCTACTAAACATATATAAATATGATAAATAAAAAATAAATTAGACTAAAATAAATTAGATCAAATATGTTGCAGTGCCCTGTCACAACCTAGCAAAGCAAAATAATCATTTTTTTCGATAATGTTGTTTTCGTAATTGTGGCAGGCCAAAATCGTAATTGCTATTAAAATACGATTAATTGCACAGCCCTACACTAGAGTAGCAGTTAGTGTAACTTTTTTCCAACAGAACGTCCAATACTCCACTGTTTGCATTTAACATTAATCAACAGTAAACACAAAGATCTCTCAGTCCTAATGGATTCTCCCTTCGTATGTTCGAGCGCTGAAACATCCTAAAGAGTTTTGTCTCCAGCGTCGTTCCAGCAGGAGATTTCTGCCTCCTGTGATTCGGCCCGTTTTCTCTTTAAACACACACAGAGTTTATGTGTGTGTGTGCGTCTGTTTTAGCGAGCCGTATTGCTGCCTCCACTTCTCTCTGTGTGATGAGTAGCTCCGTAGCATGGCGGTAACCTGGAGCGATGGTGTGGTGTGTGGCCCAGTCCAGACCCCTAACCCTCTAACAGTGATGTATCTCCTTTCCTTCCCTCCTTTCATCCTACTCTTGGTTTCTCCTTTCCTGCTCATTTGCACCCCTTTTACTCTCCTCCACTACTTCCTCTCCTCCTCTGCACCCTTTGTTTGCTCCCCCTCTGTCCCATCGCTGTTTTCTGATGCTTCCCGCTGTAGATAGTGTTGTCGTCTCTGCGCTACGGCATAATCTCAGGCTCCTGGGTGGAGCGGGTTCACCTGTGGCGCTTGAAGGGCGTCATTCAGTGCCTGCCCATTATCGCCACAACCTTCTGCTGTCACCCGTAAGTAAACCACGGAAACCAAACCAACAACGTAAGCGCAGCCAGGGGGGGGGGGGGGGGGGGGCTCGGAGAGTGAAGGGAGCCAGATGTGGGCCCTGCATCTTTTACGCTCCTCAAACGCCTCCTCCCACCTACCTGAACCTTCCGCCAAATCCTCTCATCCCCATTTTTCACCTTTCTTAAATCGGGTTTGGTCTGAGCCATTCGAGCTCTGTGAGAGTGTGTGTGTGTGTGTGTGTGTGTGTTGGTGTGTGTGTTTTCTGGTGGAATTAGTAATAAGGCCGAGGAGTGTGTTGACCTCAGAGTTTCGTCTTGGCCGCCCCACGCCCAGGATGAGCAGCCTAGGTGTGGGCGGGTGGAGGGTTTTGGATTGTTCTTCTGTCCTTTTTGGACTTTATCCGGTAATTAAAGGAGCAAGACGTAAGAAACGCATGCTGATCGAAAACCTGTGGGGCCGTTTTTCTCTGGATTACCCTTTTTATTTTGATCAAATATATGATTTCCCCTTTGATTCATTACATTACCTTAAATGTTCTCAGCCATGACAGGTTTTTTTTTTAATCAGTATGGGGTTTCTTGTCATGTCCTTCTTTCTCTCTTCTCATTGATTACTTTCATTATCTGTCTGTGAGGCGTCAGCATGGGTGCGGCCCCTCCTCCTCCTCCTCCTCTTCCCCAACCTGTCTTCATTTGGTTCGGGCCGTAACCCCCTTCCCCTCCCCCCCTCCTTCCCCCTCAGGTGGTGCTGTCCTCGTTCAAACACGGGGTGCTCAGCGGCTGGTGGCTAGTGCAGGTCAATATGGTGCGCTGGGAGGGGGTGTTTCGCTGTCTCCCCATCTGTGGGATGGCCTTCGCCTGTCAGTCGTAAGTACTCCTCCCACCCCCCCCCCCCCCCCACCTGCACAGGACCATGTCATAAAAACTAATCCCAAACGAGATTCGAGAGGCTTCAGAATAGGGGAAAATTTGAACGTAATCCAAATATCAACTAGATGCTAAAACGTGGGCTTTTTTCCACGGTCTTATTCCTGACTTTAAACAGTGAATACAATCTTACATTGCTGCATGTAGAAATGTAGCAAACGTCACAATTTGTGACTTTCATCATTCCTAACAATTTATAGTTGTAAAGGGAGGCTGCTTATTGCTAATGTGCTTTTCACAAATCATCTTTGTGTGCAAATGAGCAGAATAGAGCCCCTTTAACTTGCCCTGCAGTGAATGCAGAGATCACCACTACCTGTCACTTCTTTCAGTTTAATCATCGCTGAGTCACCATAATCATTCATTTATCCATTTTCATCATCTGCATGCTCTGTCCTGTCCTCTGCGCTGTAGTGTTTGCTCTGGGTTTGCAGTGAGTTGAGTGGGTGAGAGAGTAACCTGTGAAGGTCTAATGGGAGGTGGAAGTCTTATCTGTGATTTGAATGCAGTGCTGGGGAAGGATGCAGGGAGTGTTATGACGAGTGTTATGGCGAGGTCATTAGGGGCCAGATGTTTGGGTCTGTTTTGTGTGAGGTAAGTGGCAGGAGTGGGTGACCGTAGACTCGAGACTCTAATTATCGCACAACGCCAACATACCATTTGAGGTGT